CTTTGATGAAAAGAGATGATTTTTAAAGCTCTGGATACCACTGTGGTGATTAATTGTATAACAAACATTTGTATAGATGTTTGATTTGTTTTTATATATTATTTTAAAACAAGTGGACTGTATGCTGTTTGTTTATTGTTGAAATTTATCACCAACAAGTCACAGATATCTACTGTAAAGAATCTTGCCCATCTATATATAAAAACCTGACTTATATTTTTTCTTGGAAATTCATGTAGTCCACAATGATGTGGAAGGGCATCACCTGATTACTAAGCAACAGTTTAGTGCTGACTGGTCAATGCATTGAGGTTTGACGAAATGGCTTATCTCCTCCCCAGGATTCTTCATGCTAAATGAATATTAGTCTGTTCAGTGTATGCATCTCCAAAAAACATTCTCATGGATTGAGGATTTAGATCAAAAGCAAAATAATTCTGATTGGAAACTTATCCAGGTGGAGGGAATTATTTGTAAATTTAGTTGGCGAATGAGACGAAAGGGTAGAACAAACTGTAAAACTGTTGGTAACGTTGCAGCAAGCGTGTGTTGTGAAAAAATTTGAAATTTCTGTAAATCTCATCAAATAATATATGTTAATAGTAATTGTATTCATGTTTTAATGCATTTTAGGTGATCATGGAACTAGTGGTATTTCCGAAATTTTTTTTGTGAAACAATTTGAAAAAAAAAAAACTTAACTACCTACCTACATTTGAAATCAATTTAGTGTTACAGCAAACAACTATTTTTAAGCCTGGCCTTAGGAAGATTTTTATTATTGCTTAATCTAAAATAAACATTAATAAATTTAGTATCAAGACAGAATTCTGTCTCCCAGCATTTCATTTATAGTTTTATTTTCTTGGTGATTTTAAAAGAGTAAAACCTGACTGAGTTTTTTATATCTTAGGAACAATTGAAATCAACAATGCTACTTTTTTGTTATTATTAGTGTTTTTTACTCGTATCGTTCTTTTAAAAATATATTTATTATACATGTAAGTGTATTGTTAAATTCAGTTTGAGTTGTTCTCTAACCTTCTCAATGATATTTCTGCATTTTTATCTGATGGTGTTCACAGTTGGGAAGGATATACCTTGACATGCTGAATGTCTATAAAGTAATGAGTGAAAATATCACTGCAGCCATTTCCCTGAATGGAGAAGTAGTTACCAAGCAGCCTCTAATCAGAAGTATGAGAACAGTAAAAAAAGAAGCATTAAAGTTGATATCAGGATGGGTTAGTCGTTCAACAGACTCTCACATGGTTAGTTCTGCTGAAAAGTGACTGTTTCGTTAGTGCAATCTGTTTTTCAACAAATGTCTTTCTGGTGATTATTGAAAACTAATCATTTGGGTATCCACACATTTTAGGGAATTAGTCTGTTTTAAATCAAGGCTTTTTTCTTTCCTCCTTTTTTTTAAAGAAACCTGCAGTCACATTTTGTAAATGCAGTGTAATATGTTCACTCAAAAAAGTTAAAATTCCATACTTTTCTATAACGGGGTGACTTAGAGATCTCTTATTTTATTTTTTTTTGTTAAGAAATTTTTCTTTGTTTTTAAAAAATTATTTGTCTAAAAATTTTATATTATAATTTTCTTTTATTTCACTTGCTATGGGTCCGGTCGATATTACCCAAATCTTAACCTTAAATTGACATTTAGAGTTTCGATACAATAAATTTTAACATGTTTCGTGTATCTTCACAAAATTTTGCAAATTTCAGTAAGCATTAGAAGTCATTTTATAAACAAAAAATCTGAATTTCTAATGAAGTGTTGGCTGCTGTGAGTGGAAAGTGATTTTCAAGTTAAGAATATAAATACTTATCATGATCTGAAAACTGTTAAATTTTAAATGTTATCTTTCAGTAAAACTTTATATTTGATCTGTTATTTTCTCTACCCTAACTCTGTAAGAAGTTAGTCAATATAACTATCCTCGAAACCACCTGAAAAAGAATTGAAAAAAACCTAAATTACCCTTTTTTCTTTATAGAATGACTTCAATTTGTAACAGAAAACTAGACTTGTTTTTCCTAGATAGCTTAAAACAAGTAACCATATACATCAATTTCTAATGACATTTTCTTGTCCTTTGAACCCTGTCTAACTAATAATTCCACCATAGATGCTGTAAATCACTCAGTGAATGTGTAGCTGAAGTTACCCTATTTTTTCTATTATTTTTTTCTTTTTTTTACCTAATCTAAACTAATAAGTTTATAATTTTTAAGTTTTAGTTACTTTTATAATAATGAATAAAAAAATACACATGAAAAACAAGAAATATGATACTTACCTGGGTGGTCTCTTTTTTTCTAATTTTTTTTTACTATCAGTGAAACTTAACCCTATTTTTTATACTAATGGTACTACTACATTAATTAATTTTGTATTTAATTAAATAATGCACCTGAGAACACAGAATGATAACATGCAAAAGCAGACAAAGTCCTACAACTATTATAATTTTTCTGGCTTTCTAACTATGTGATAAGTCTTTAAACATTCAATTGAACTTGTTACTGTGTTTCCCATGGGAATAGTTTAAACTGGAAGTGAAATGGACAATTCTCTGTACTGAAAATAATGTAATGTAACAGGTCATTTGATATATTAAGTGTCAGAGAGAACTATTGGCAATTTATGAAAGAGAGAATGTGACAGGTGGGTGTGGCAAGTAGGTCTGATTTTCTAGTTTATATTTCTGTAACCAAATAACATTGAAGGATATAAAAATTATGCTGTACCTGAGTAATAATAATATTATAATAAGTAATTTATGTTAAATTCCATACTTCTTGGAGGGGTAGTAAATAAAGTAGAGAAGAAGGGAAAGAGCAAATGTCCCAATTCTCATATTAACCATGTTTCTATGCCAAGTTTATTTATGTACCATGATAATAAAGTAATTTAATTAAATTTTGAATGTAATTCTTCAAAAAATTGTGACATGCACATTTTGATTTTTTTTTTGTAGCAAGAGGGTTAAAAGCTTTAAATTATTCAAAATAGAAAATAAACACAAAAACATGTAAATATCAGTTAAAAATGCATTCGTAACTGCTTTTTATGCCACATATTTTTATTTGTTTTTAGGTGTTGGAGAATTTTATACCACCACTCTTGGATGCCGTGTTACTGGACTATCAGCGATGTAGTGTCCCTTCAGCTAGAGAACCAGAAGTCCTGTCCACTATGGCCACAATTGTCAATAGGTTAGAGGTGTGTGAATTCTGATATATTACGTGATTATAATTCTGTATTCAGCATGGCTTCAAGGATTATTTTAACCCTTAGGGAACCAGCTGCACTCATAAATTAAATGTTGTAGAAAAAAAAAAAATTGTAACTAATTTAAAAGGTTTTTATAAACAGATTCCAACATTTTCTGTTCTATTTACCAGCTAGATTCGAGAAGCCACGTGGAGTTGCAAGAGTTGAAGAAATGTTTGTTTTTTCAACTATCAGTTTAATATGTTGAATGTCATAAAACATGCAGCAGGATATTATTGTTTTTTTACCTTATTAAGCATGTTGAATTTGTCCATACATCACATTCTTCATTAATTAAAGTTAAAAGTAACTGAAATGCTGTTTGAAAGACTTACAGGTAGGGAATTGTTGCCTTATTCTTAAGACTACATTTTGATGCACTTCCCCATATCTTAATCAGGTCCATTATTTTAGGAGTGACATACAGGTAGCATAGTCCTGAGGGAAAGTTCTTCAGCAATTTTAAGAGTGACATACAGGTAGCACAAATCTTGGGGATGGAGAGTTCTTCAGTAGTTTTAGGAGTTACATATAAGTAGCACAGTCCTGAATGAGAGTTCTTCAGTAGTTTTAGAAGTGACATATAAGTAGAACAGTCCTGAAGGAGAGTTCTTCAGTAGTTTTAGGAGTGACATATAAATAGCACAGCTCTGAAGGAGAGCTCTTCAGTAGTTTTAGGAGTGACATATAAGTAGCACAGTCCTGGGGTAGAGTTCTTCAGTGTGGGTTGTTGGGTTTTTCTAAAAAACAAAAATGTTATGACATACTGTATTGCACAGCCTCTTCAGATCAACATGAGTTCTATCTTTTACAGGGAAATATTACACCTGAAATCCCTAAAATATTTGATGCAGTGTTTGAGTGTACTCTGGAAATGATCAACAAAGTAAGTTTTATAATTAAGCTTTTTATCTTGTGTATGCTAAAAAAAAATTCTGTACATAAAGATACTAATAACTTTTTAATGTGTGTCGATAAATTATTTCTGTGTTTAAAAGACAGATGTGAAAAGTATTTATCACAGAATAGTCTTGTATTTAGGGCATTACAGTACTTGTGCCGTATATATATAGTGAAAGTTAAAAGCTAAAGCAGTATTTTAAATAGGTAATTGTCATTTAGTATAAAAAAGTTAGAGATGTTTTGTTTCTATGTTGAAATAAATAATAAGTATTTCATTTTGTTCACATTAAATTTTGAAGTGCAATAAAACATAAAATATTAATTATACAAGAAAAATCTACATAGTATATCCCTGATTTTTGAGTTGTGAAATTATATTCTGTGGAGAAAATTTTCTTAATTTAGAAACTGGTTAACCTGGGGCAAGGCAAATCAAAGTGTTTTGTGAATGTTACATATGACAGAAGAAAAATCCATTTAATACCTTAGAAAATTGCAGTGTAGTTTGCCTTTATGACTGTGTGAGCCCCAGCTGCTCAACTACCATTTAATCTTGAATGTTTTGTAGTTTTTTTGCTTAGTGACTGTGGATGTGCCTTTTTGTTGCCTATCTATCATACAAAGTAATATTCATTTTAAGATTAAAAATACTATATGCATCAATACATTTTTTAAATTTCACATGTGAAACCTTTATAATTTCGTGATAGTTATCAAACG